GTTCCATTGGAGGGATTAAGGTAGGTTGAGGATTTATGATTTAATAGACATAAGTTATGGGTGTTAATTATTTCTTCTAATATTTTACCTTTAGTATCTAGCTTTTTGCTATTCCATATAGGATTATGACTGTTAAAGTCTCCTAGTAAGATTCTGGGTTTGGGAAGTTGCTCCATCAAGTTGTTTATTTCTGTTGTATTTATTGGTTCCTGTGGGGGTATATAAATGGAAAGAATTGTGATGGTTTTATCTAGTGTCACTTGTGTTGCTATTGCTTGTAATTTAGTTTTAATGTGTACTTTACTTTGCGGTATGTCATTTCTGATCAATATTGACACTCCTCCATTAGCTCTATGTCCTGTATTGTGGTTATAGTGGTATTGTTTATAATTTTTAATTTTTAAGTTGGTATTTTCTTGTAAAAAAGTTTCCTGTAAGCAGATGACGGCTGGATACAGTAGTGACATAAGTATGAGTAGGTCATTGTAATTTGATTTTATTCCACGACAGTTCCATTGCAGGATCTTATGTGCCATGATTATATTTTCATTTTTTGGGAGTAAAGTTAACTACTAGGTTGATATCATTTGTCCTCTCCAAGTTTTTTCCATCTCTTGAGTTTTTAGAAGCTTTGTCTTCAACTGCTTGTGGTGTCCTTCGATCAGATTTTTGATTTTGTTTTGAATTTTGTTTATTATCTTTCTCTTCTATTTCTATATATTCCATAGGCTCAAATTTATTTTCATTTGATATACTGATTCTCGATTTTGAGTTAGATCTTGATCGAGTGCTTTCTTGCTCTGTTGTCACTTTTTTTTCTTTTTGTTTATTTTTCATTTTCTTAGTTTGGGTTTGGAAAGAAAAGGGTTCGCTGGAGTTTTGTTCTGTGTTTTCTTTCCAAAGTTTTTTGCCTCCTTCTGGGTTTATTCCATTTGATCTGGGTTGTTGAGTTTTATTTTGATCCGATTTAAGTTCGGTTAAAAAGGTTTTTAATTCTTCAAGGAAAGCTTTTAATTCTTTACATAGGTTTGTTATTTCAATTGAACCTTTTATTTTATCTTCATTGTTTATTTTATTTGCTTTTTGTGCCATGGAAGCATATGTGTTTTCTTTTATATTATTTATAACTTCCTTTCGTGCTTCTATGTAAGATATATTTTTTTTGTATTTTATTCTAATTATTTCTTTCTCCTGTTTATATATATTGCATTGTTTTGAGAGGGCAGAGTGGTTTCCCAAACAGTTTGAGCATAGGCTCTCATTTGGGCAGTTCTCTTCTTTATATTCTGGTT